CTCTGTTTGACTCCTGAAGGCTCTGTCTGGGAGGAATTTCCAAACATCAATAACATTTGAAAAATATTATAGATATTTGTATATGTTGATACATATTAAAATATAATACTTCAAATATTCAATAGGAAAAATAAAATATATGTCCAGAATTTCCCTTCTTCTTTACCTCCAGAGGTTTCCTCTTCAAAACGGTTCTTGTACAAATACCTGCTGGTACACATACAATATCACCCACACCCCAGCCCTCACTGATGAACAGTCCTCCTTTCTGGTTTTTGAAACACGGTAACTCTACAGGCTTACTATAGGTTTACTCTGTTGGAACCTAAACTAAGGGATTTCATGTGCAACTGAGACCGGGAGTGACGTCTACCCTCTCCTCAGAGGGGATTTTAAGGACGAATCGCAGTTACCACACATTCTCCCACATGAGCACCTGGGAGGACCAAACCAACCCTCCTCTGGATATCTTATCCCGGCTTTCCGTGCTATTGAGGGTGAATAGAAAGAGGTGGTTTGGATGAAAAATGAAGAACAGGTGCAGCTCTCAGCTACAGGCACTCTGCTCTGCTGTTTGGCTTGGATGCCCCTACCCACAGTACACTCCCAGCAACACTCTGTTTCAGCACCAACCCTGCTGGGGAATCGGCAAGAAACAGGTTCTGGACTTGAACGTCCAGTCTACACTTTGTTAAGCTCACGCCTCTCTCTAGAGCACAGTGAAATAGACTCTGGCTTTTAGCAGATGAGGTGTTGCACTGTGATGAGCACTGTGAGCCCTCTGTGGTCTTTTTGCTTATGTGAAGGGCTATATTTAATAGTTTAATGCGGGGAGTTTCTTTCTGCTACGTGGGCTTGAACGCAGATGAGTCAGCATTCATTAAGCAGGAGACCTAAGGCAATTTTGAATGTTCTTTTTAAATAGGAGCGACGGATCGTTTTATGAGTCTCAAGGAAGTAGTGAACTGAACATCTGCCCTTGCAGTCCAGCCTCCACAGGTGTCCGTGAAGAATCCCGTGCTGAGTAAATGCACAGAGGCTCAGAAACACTCTGGTTGCACATCTTCAGTTCCCCTTTAGATTTTGTTAAGTACAGCTGGATTTATTTGAAGTCTAACAGTAACCATTACCATCTGAACATCACACAGATGGCTACAAAGAAAAGTGAGTTTATTTATTGTTCAAAAGAATGCATTTATTGTACATTATTCTTTTTGTATTGTATGAAGGCAGAGTTCTTCAAAGCTACCTTCAGATTATACCAAGGCCACTGAACAATGTGTTATTTGCCAGCCTATAGTTGGCTACATTCGACAAGTACTTCACATGTAAGTCCTTTTTTCACTGGAAATGACTGAAGAAGATGAACGTTTTTCCTAGACTAAGTTTTCTTCGATATGTTTTACATTTCATGACTAAATACTTAAAGATATGAATGGTTCGGTAAATTTCCCCCATTTCACTAACAATGGGGTGGTGTAAAGCAGTCCAGAAACATTTTCCAACCCAAGTGAAGATTTATTGTGAAAGCTTAATGGAGAAACATGCAGAAGTGTTCTTAATTGTACTGTACCCAGTATTCCTGCATTCCATCCATTTATCCATTTTCTAATGTCTTCTTCCGATTCAGGGTCGTGAGGGAGCTGGAGCCTATCCCTGCAAGCAAAAGGCACAAAGCAGGGTACACCCTGGTGTCACGATCGTAATCCCTCCTCTTAAGGGCGCTCCGACCCTTTCGTATTTTAGTTCATTACGTGCACCTGCCCCGTTTGTCCCTCCTTATTTAAGCCGGGCGCTCCCACTATTCCTGACTCAGCATTGGGAG